GTATACGTTTTATTTTTCCTTACCTCTCTTTGATCGTCTTGCCTGGCCATCCTTCTCTCACTGCGCCAAGATGAGTTTCTTGGGCAGAAATGCCCAGACAGTGCCCACCAAGGAGAGGAGCGCCGAAGTGAGCATGATGGCCCATGCAACCGTCTTCTCTTTGCCGCTGATTTCGTTACCGAAAAGCTTCAGGTAAAAGGCGATGGGTAGGCTGCGTGGAGAAGGGACCGAAAGAAAGCCAGTGTTAGCGGGCCTGCTAGATCTCAAACATGACGCAGGCTGAGCCGCAGAAACGAGGCAAGTAAAACTCACGTTACACAGATGCTGAAGCACAGCGCGCTCCCTGTTGTCTCGATAGATTGAGTGGTCAGCTGCTGTGGTTTATAGTCCATCATGGGGGGATATGTAAAGCTCAAGGGGATCGAGAAGGAACCTGGTGCGAGCAAAGAGCGGGCGACGAACCCATAAAAGCCATAATCCTGTCAAACGCTGGGAACAAGATGGAGATGATGAGAAAGCTGAAAATGGTAAGAACGCGGATGGCGCCCCTCTTGAAGGCGAGAGTCGATGCCGAAGGCTGCTGCTGGATCTCGGGCGGGCAGTCCAGGCCAGGATCATCCGAGGTGTCCACAGGCTGTTGCTGGTGGTAGACGCCAAATAGGACCTCGAGCGTCGTGATGATTGGGCGAGCGTTGAGCGGGATCTTGGTTAGCGGGATGATGCCGATGAAGGCGCACATCAAAAAGGTCAAGACGCGAGGATATCCCGGTGTCGTTAGGATGTTTGAAGTGATGGCATCCTTGACGTCGTCGCCGAACATCAGGATGCCGGCAACGGCCGTGGCCGCGTCAAGGAAGTACTGCCCGGTTTGAGAAAAGGAACATGTGAGCCAGGGCAAGTGGATTTGATTACATACGGCGGAGACCAACTGGTTTGGTAGATAATCATGGACTAGGCATAAACTTACCGTGAAAGTGAAGGTAACCTTGACTGCCTGGCCGTACTTGTAAGGGTGGCGCATATCCCTGTAGATCTGTAGGCATTGTGGTTAAAAAGCGTTATCGACTCAGTTCTAGACCACAAACGGGAAGCTATGAGAGGCAAAGGAACAAAAAAGTAAAGAACCAAATAAAGAGAAGAGCAGCTTACGTTGGGAAAGACGCTGTGGCCTCCCCACGGGGACATCAGCAGGCCAAAAGAAAGAGGGAGGGTCAGCCAGTTGGCGGGGAGCAGGTACGTAGCCGCGGGCTGGATGAGGGAGCCGGGGCTGTCGGGCTTGATGAGGCCGTTGATGACGACGATGAGAACAACTGCGGCAGGTGAGTTTAGTGACGGACTGGGAGGTGGGCACAAAAGTCAAGCCGAGATGTGTACTGACTGCAAAAGCACGAAAAGATGCCTACGATACTGCTGTACGAGAGCAGGCTCAGGGGCATGAAGTGCAGCGGCAGCAGTATCAGCGCGCACGCCACCTTCCACTGGGTCACGGACAGGAAACCTGGAAAAAGAAGGTCCAGCGAGTCGGCGAAGAGGACGATGAGGGCGACGCAGGCGGCGAGCAACTCGAGGGTGAAGAGGATGCTGGTGGCGATACGGGCCTTGCTACCGAAGGAAATGAAGGCCAAGTCGCTGAAGGTGATGAGGCTCGGGTCCAGGTCCATGCAGCGTGTGAGCAGTGAGGCCGTGTAAGCCGTCACGGCGGCGGCGGCAAAGAGAAAGCCCATGCCACACAGCCAGCCGGCGTATCTGATACCCATGGGCAGCGAGAGGAGTCCGACCCCGATCAGCACGTTGATGGAGTTGAAGATGGTCTGGGGCAGCGTCGACTGTCCCTCGACCGTGAGGACGACCTTGCCGTCCTGCTCCACCTCCTTGACCAGGATCGGCTGCACCTCGCTGTCCGGGCCCTCTTCGGCCGGCGGACCCCAGATGGAGCCCCGGGCGCCAGCGACTGGAGCCACGGATACGGTGCCACCACGGGGCGACTCGTCGCGAGAGCGGATGGTGCCATAGCTCATGCTACGGTGGGAGCGGTATGAGCCATACGAGCCGCCGTAGATGCCGCCGTATGGGTCGGAGCCGCTGCTGACGGCCGGCGTGGCCAGGTGCGGCGGGATTGCAAAGATGGATGGGGATCGGCCCATGGCGGCGCCCGTAGCGTTGCCGCCTGCACGGAAGATTTGAGGGAGGTCGCTGTTGTCCACCAGGGCCTTGCGCTCGCGCTCCCTAAAATCGGCGTCGGACTGTTGTTGCTGCTGGTCGGCAGCGGTAGGAGAAGCGGGGCCCTGATGGTCGGCGGGCCCTGCGGCCTCGGGTCCCGGAGGCGAGGCGGCGGCAGCGTCCAGATGCTGGCGCAGCAGCGAGGGGCCAGGCTTGCCAGAGGGCGGGCGCAGGAGGCCGGCCTCGGACTGACTGCGGCCATACTCGATATCGTTGGCCGGACCCAGTGTCGGGGCCTGATCGGGTGCGAAGACGAACGAGGGGCGCTGCGGGATGACCTCGGCGAAGCCGGCGGCACGCTGCCAGCTTTTAGTGAAGGACCTCATGCTGTTGACGCCGCCAATGTCGGCGATGGAGGCCAGGCGCATGGTTACGGAGCTCCTTCTACGGCGGAGCCTGCCCTGCCACTCGGTGCCATCGCCATCATCGCCGGGGGCGTCGGAATCTTCCAGGAGGGCTTGTTCCTCCTGGAACTGGACGCTTCGGCCGCTTCGTGCGCCCACCGAGGACACACTCCCCTGGCGGTTGGGGGAGCCCCCGCGCTCATACTCGTCCCAGGTCGTCGGGTTTCTCGACGACGGCGGCATGGTCTCGAGTCCGACACTGAACTGTGCCGTCTATATGGTGTGGCTGCTTCAGTGGCTGCTCCAGGCTTGGCGAGGGTTCACACTTGGAGCTTCAGACGGTGCTCGCCGCGACCAGTACGCGATGAGATGCGATGCGGCCCTCGTGCGCGCCCTTACTAGGGTGGCTGGGAAACTGCAGACAGGTCGGGCCAATCCGGCGGTTTTCCTCCCAAACGATAAAAAAAAGAGATCAGATATCGGGCGACAGGAATTTGCTCTTGGGTACCAAGGTGAAAAAGGACAGGGAAAAGAAAATATGATTTAGCCCAGGCGGGGAGGAGTTGGACAAGGAGCAGAAAAACACATGGAGGATGGCAGGCTAGGAACCCAGTCGCAATATCGGGCCCCTGGACCCTGGCAATGGATGGATGGATCGAGTTGTGGCAGAAGACAGCGGCTGCAACTGCCCCGACTCAGCTCGAGCCAGGAATGCGTGCTGGTCAAAGGAGGAGGTTGGCACAGACAAGGCGAGGTTGGGCAAGCAAGTCGACAGGGCAAATCGACAGGACAATTCAACTGACCAACAGGACAACAGGACAATAGGAGCAACAAGAGCAAGGCCTTTTCATCTTTGATGGTGGAGGGAGCAGGGAAGGGAACACACTGACCAACCGCTGATGAGGGGTCTATCCACCAAGGTTCCGCTAGGAGCCTAGCTCCCCCTGGGTCCTACTCTGCAGCTCGAGTTGTGCGCGGGCGGCTGGCGACAAGACTGAAAAGACAAAAAAAAAAAAACAGACGTCACCACCCTGCAGACAAAGTCGGCTGATGTACGTGCGAGGAGATTCGCGATACCTCGACGGGATGCAATGCACGTCCAGGCCGCCCGCATAATGTGCACTCGTGGGCCGTTTTGCGGGGGCACACAGGATGGGGGACCCACCCAATGCACAACCACCGCCCGCGTGACTAAAACGGAGGCGGAATCTTATCGCAGGACGGCGAACCGAGAAAATTTCAGCCGCCACCACCGGATCCAGTTGGCGCTTTGATTGGCCAATGGCCACGACGCCAAGTTCACGCGGGCAAGGGCCGCCTGGTGGGCCAGCTCTGCCAGGTTTCCAAGGTCGAGGGGCAATGACGATGGCTGTGATGCTTGACTGCACGTATCTCGGCATACTGAACAGTGTGCTTGGAAGTTAAAGAAAGGGAAGTCAGAAGCATCAAGTCAGGAGCATCCAGTGTCACCACTAAGTCCATGGTCGTAGTGGCTGGCGGTGGGGTGGTGCATGGTGTTTGCCGGGCCGTGTGTGAGGTGGCTCCGTACTGCAACGCCTACAGCGAGCAAAATTGGGCGGGCCTCAAAACCCAAAAAGGGCCCCACATACTGCCGGCCAAAGACGCGCTCCGGGGACACAAACCCCCCTCTCCGTGCCACCACGCTTGACACTCCCCGTCCCCGATCGATTGCTCCGCCGCGCGTCCCCCGCGCCCGGCAGTGACCTGACCACCCCCAGCCACAGATCCTCGGCCAAAAAATGCGGCAATGACGACGGACAGCACCAACCGCGCCTCGCCGCTGGCCAGGCTCGAGCAGGCCCGGCAGCTGCTCGCCACCGCGCGCGAGATCCTGGACCGGTTCAACTACAAGCACAAGAACCAGCACCGCCTGTCCAAGTGGTGGGCCGCCTTCGACACCCTGCGCAGGCACCTCGCCAAGCTGGAGCGGGACGAAATCACGCCTGCTGTCGGGGCCCTCGAGCTCGCCGCCCGCCGGTCGGCGGCCCGCGGCTCCGGTGGCGGCGGCTCCAAGCGTCCCCGGGACCCTGCTGCCGCCGTGGACGTGGCCGTGATGCCGCCCGGCGTCGGGGCGAAATCCAAATGGATGCGCGACTACCTGATCCCCAGGGCCTACCCGTAAGCTTACCCGAGCTCGCTGTGAGAAGCACGCCCACCCCCCAGACCAGAGACTGACGGCCAACCTGCCGCCTGCCATCCAGCTCCTTCACCCAGCTGGCTGCGGACAATCAGTTCGCCCACCTAGGGCTTCTCTTGCTCGGCGTGCTGGCCCAGGTTCACGATCTCGTGTCTCTTATCTTGCCCCCGCGCATAGAGGAAGATGACGCCGAGGGTGTAAAGTGTGCGGCTGCGTCTCCGCTTCGTATCGAAGCACGGCCGGTGCCGGCAGTGGGAACTGCCGCCCTTGTGCCTGCAGTTGCTTCCAGCAATCCAGATGATTTGGGCGTTGCTGTGTCCCGGGACGACGTTGCACCTGCAAAACGTGACGTGCGCAGCAGAAGCGAAGATGCATGCGCGCGATTAAACGGCAAGAAGCGTGAAAAACAGACCAGCACCAAACCCACCCTCTCAGAAGAGGCATCGCCAGGCCCAGACGAGGTGACTAGGCCAGTTCGCGAGGCGCCGCTAGGTCCATCTGCGGCCAAGCCCAAGGTCAAGAAAAAGGCACGTAGCGACGACGCCAAAGAGGAGAAGAAAAAGAAGAAGAGAAAGAAGGGCGACGAGTTTGACGACCTGTTTAGCTCGCTGATGTAGAGGAAGAGAGCCTGTAGTGCCTAGTGGACTAGTAGACGACCCCCTAAATCCCCTCAACTCCTCAACTCCTAGGACAAGTTTTGACACGCCAAGATGGCAACAAGAATCCACCCCCCTCGCCCGCAGCGCCCGCGAGGCGGCTGAGGCTTATTCTCTTTTTTTCTTCTCCCCCTCGACGTTACCATTTCCCGCTCCCGCTTCCGCTCCCTTGATGCAAATCATGCAAATCGGCCCCTCCTGATGATGCACGGGCCGTCGCTCCCACGGCTTGTTTCAACTTCACCCCAAAAAGCCAACACGGCAAATTTTGCATCACCTGCTCTTTTCGGGCATTGGGCCGAATGCTTTGGCGACTACCATCTGCGGGGGAAATAAAGAGTAAAAACCCACCCAGTAACAATGGGGTAACAGGGGGGTTGAAACTGGAAATCGCAGGGGCCGCGGTGACTTGGGGGGATGTCACGAGACTTCAAGAATTTCTCGTCCTTTGAAAGCTTTTCTCGATTTCTCTCCTTTTTTCACCAGCTTTAACAATGGCAGTGATTTTATGCCAGCACGTGACCACCCTTTCGCCACCCCTGTGATCTCCAGTTTTAACCCCCTTGTTGTGGGTTTTTACTGTTTATTTCCCTCACAGATGGTAGCCCGACATGTACCCAGGAAGCCACCCACGTACCTGGCTGTGTCTTTACGGCATGCACAGCGCCCCGTCAGCCAAATATCACAATCCAGGGGTACCGCATCAGAGTCGCTGAACGGACGAAGCAGTTATTGCGAGGGGGCTTTTGAAGCATGGCACAGAACGATGTCATCGGTTCTCTCGCCAAAGGAGGCGAGCTGGCAGTCACTAGCAAAGGCAAGCGCAATAGCCAGGATTCACGGCGTTTTTATGCAAAATATTCATTACAACCAATATCGACAGCCCTGTGGTGGTATAGTGGGATCGCAGATCCGCTCCGCTAAAAAAATATTCCTTCAAAACACACACACACCCAATCAGGAAGCAAAAAGCTAGTTCTTGCCCTTGGCCTTGGTGCGCTTGCCCTGGTGGTGGGGCTCGCGAGTTTCGAGCTCAGTCTCGTCCTCGTCGTGGTTTTCCTCGGTCAGATCACGCTTGGCACCCTTGGCCTTGGCCTTGGTGCGCTTGCCTTGGTGGTGAGGCTCGCGAGTCTCGAGGTCGTGCTCATCCTCCTCGTGGTCCTCGGCCAGATCGCGCTTAGCACCCTTAGCCTTAGCCTTGGTGCGCTTGCCCTGGTGGTGAGGC